CTTCAGTTTTCACTCTGGCCTCTCCTGAGTAAAGCAGAGACAAAACGCAAATGAAGTCATCTGAATCCTGAAACTTTGAAGTGTCACTCATGTATTTACAAGTATATTTATAAGTATCTAACATATACTGTAGGTTATGGCACACTGCATGAATTGTGCATAGAACATCCATTGATATACAGGTGCACACAATGTTTTCAGAAAGATTTTGACATTTTTTATTTTTTGAGGTCTTATTTCCCTGTGGAAATATGTTTGTATGACATTTATGATTAAAAGAAAATGTTTGCAAGTTTTGTCAGATATCACCTGTAACGGTGTGTGCTGTTGGCTCGATTGGCTTTATTTATTTCATGCAGGAATATATATTTTTCCCCACAGAAAGCAAACATTACTACTTTGTCATAAAAGTGATTCGTGAAAAGTGAAAATAATTTGGAGGAGCTAATTTTCTGTAGCAACTAAACTGATATTAAACTATGGAGACCAAAAAAGAATTAACATTTATCAATCAGTGAGTTTACTCTGAGGTTTCTGCTAAATATAATTTCATAAAATGTGAAAAAAAACATTTACAGACAACACAAACAACATCTTGGGTTTATCTGAGACATTAAAATTAATATTATGGAACTACAGGAATTTACTGTACTACTTACCACAATATAAAAGTTGACCCAAGCAGAGAATCACACCCGCCCTCCATAGAGAGAGCACGAAACTCATCGTGTGCCTTCAACTTCAGGCTCAACACTGTACGTCCTCGGCTGCGATCAAGCCCTTGGTTAATGTGTACTGTGTGATCTCTCTGTGCCTTTTCATGCCTTGATTTGCCTGCGCTTCAGGTACGTTACGAACGTCTTTGAAACCTTTCACGCCGTAAATGGGAACATAATGACGTGCAATTTCTTGGAAATGTTATTGCGCGTCCCGCTGAGGGAGACGGCTACTATTGTGATTGGCCTGTTCAGACTGCTCCTGTGCATTTCCGGTGTTCTGACAAAACGTCCTACTTTGGCAAAACGTCCTACCGCAAGTAGTTTATGCACATTTCTGCTGTCACAGATTCATTCCAGCACAAATGTAAGTAGGTATAACGGTTTGCCACTTAACTTTGCCCATCAGAATATGCTTGTAGCTCATAATTATAAAGCCAGGACGGTTTGCCACTTCATTTTAGCCGTTAAAGTATGCTTGTAGGTCACATTCACAAAGGTAGCATGATTTGGCACGTAATTTTACCTGTCAGAGTATGTGTCTAGCTGTTATTAACAAAGGTAAGATGATTTGCCACTGAATTCTAGCTGTAAAATGATGCTTCTAGCTCATATTCACAAAGGTAGGATTGTTCGCCACTTAATTGTAGCTTTTAAAGTATGCTTGTACGTCACATTTACAAAGGTAGGACGGTTTAGCACTTAATTTTACCCATCAGAGTATGTTCGTAGCTTATATTCACATAGGTAGGATTGTCCGCCACTGAAATTCGTGTTGTGCGCATGCGTAGAAACAACGGGTAGGATGGATTCCCAGAACACCTGGCCTCGTACATGTCAGTGAATTCCTGTCGGGAAATTGCCAAACAGTGTACGAAGAAGTGGAAAAACTGGAACGACAACTGGGCTTCTTTTTTTTTTTTCTTGCTTCCCCAAAACAAGTGGGGAGAGAGAAGGGCAAAACTGACCACCGCTAGACATTACAAATACATGTCTTAAAAATAAAACCTGCTAGACAGCAAGTCGCTTCCACCTCTGAATTCGTGCAAACGAAACTCATGTCTTTGCGCGTTCCCAGCAGGTAATACACGTTTTTGACATTGACATTTACATCCTTGATCAGATTCTTGCATAGGCAGCTTGAGATAAAGTAGTTAATTATGCTGCTTAGGACCACCCCATCTAAATTCGGCCACTTACTGCAAACTTTGCAAGCTTGAATGTGGTTGTTTGAATGATGCTGTATATTAATGAGGCAATAGTACCACCTAGTGGAGAACATAAAGACGTACAGTTTATCCAGTCATATTCAAATCGGCATTTTAATTTGCAGACTGCTTAAAAATAGTGGGGGACTTTATTTTTAAATGTTCATAAAATTAACAAAATAACGTTTTGTGTTTGTCATTCTCTACCCTGATGCCATAAAAAATATTCTTAGGTATGTTCAAAAAAGGCATAAAGAGCTTCACAGCAGCAGTTTCTACTCTTAAAAACCTTGGCACTGTTGCAGACTGGTGGCCTGTCCAGTGTACACCTCGCCCTGTGGTGGCTGGGAAAGGCTCCAGCCCCTCCAGGACCCTGAATTGGGCATGCAGATGAGAATGAATGGATGTATTCAACAGAAATGCTAAGAAAGTATTTTAGGTAGGAGACTGTATTAGTCCTTAAACAAAATACACATTTGTGAGACAAATACAGAAAGTAGTATTGGGAAAAAACATTTTATGAAGTGAGTATCAATCAGAAAACGTCCATCTATCCTTATTACCATATTCACTATATTAAATTCTGGTTAAGAGAAAAGAGACTTGAAATGATGAAAGAAAATGTATTCTAGTGTAAACTGTTCAGGACATGTGTTCAAGAATAAAAATATTAGAAATTCACTCTGAATGAGACAGAATAGAAACTGCAAACAAACCAGAAATGCTCTGTAGGCTAAACCATGAAGCTTCT